GGAGTGATGGAGAAGATGAAGGATCGCATGTGTTGGGGCCCTTGTGAGTATCCTAGAATTTGAAAATGCTCGACCAACGGTAAAGGCAGCAACTTGCAGCAGAAGGAGAAGTACCAAATCCACCGCTTTTGGTACCTAGTTTTGGAAAGATTCTCAAAAAGACTAGCGGGTTGGAAAAGGAACTACATCTCTTTAGGGGGTAGAATCACTCTAATTAAGTCAACACTAGCAAATTTGCCAGTGCATTTTTTGTCTACCTTCAAATTGCCTGTTAAGATTGCAAACCAAGTTGAAAAAATAATGAGAGATTTTTTGTGGGAACCTGGAGATACTAAAAAGGATCATAGGGTAAAATGGGAAGTGGTGTCTAGAAAGAAAGACAAAGGGGGCTTAGGGATTGGAAATATTAGAATAAGAAATGCAGCTTTGTTAGGCAAATGGCTATGGAGGTTTCCTAAGGAGCAAGAGAGTCTATGGCATAAGGTGATAAGAAGTATTCATGGAATGGAAACAAATGGTTGGGACGTTGGACTCAATCCAAGGGCTTCGTGCTTTTCCCCATGGAAAGATATTGTTGGTATCTTGCCTATCTTCTCTCATTTCATCAAGTATGATGCTTGTGTGGGTAATAAGATTCTTTTTGGGGAGGACTTGTGGATTAGGGAATCTCTCCTTAAGGATAGATTCCCGAACCTATATTCCCTTTCTTTGAAAAAATCTCAATTTATCTCTTCTTTTCGTGTTTCTGGGGATTCTTGGGATCTAGGACTAAGGAGAGGTTTGAGGGACTCAAAAGTGGATTCGGCAAATGATATTTTTTCTCTTCTAAGTTCAGTTTTTCTAGACCACTCTTCTCCTGATAGTAGAATTTGGGCTGAAACTTCTACAGGTAGTTTTTCTTGTTCTTTGTTTTTCAATGCTTTGGTCCTTCCTTCTAACCCAGTATCTTCCTTTCCTGTTAAAGAAGTATGGAGCGCTCCGCCCCCCCCCCCCAAAAGTAAGGGCTTTTTCTTGGGAAGTGGTTCTCCAAAAAATCAATACCTTGGAAGTGCTTCAAAGAAAGAGACCAAATTGGTGCTTGTCACCTCATGTCTGTAGCCTTTGGTTGAGGAATGGTGAGACGGTGAATCACCTATTAATTTCTTGTCCGTTTAGTACTCTAATTTGGGATTGGTTCTCCTCTCTCTTTGATTGTAGGTGGACTCCTCCCACAAGCGTAGCGGATTTATTTGACCCTAGATTTTTCCAACAACCAAAGAAGAAAGGAAGGGTGATGTGGAGAACAACGAGGGCAGCTATCTTGTGGGCAGTGTGGGAAGAGAGAAATAATAGGATTTTCCAAGGGAAAGAAAAATCAGCTCCTTTAAGTTATTGAAGGGATCACCATCAAGGCAGTACATTGGCTGAAAACTCTTGAACTATTCAAGGATGTCTCTATGGATTATTTGTTTAGAGCCTGGAGTATTTTAGCAAGGTCTTCTACTTCATCACCTACTATACAAGCAGTTTGGTCCCCTCCTATGCAGTGTAATGTCAAACTGAACTTTGATGGCAGCTCTATTGGGAATCCCGGACCTTCTGGAATAGGGAGTGTGTTTAGAGATGCGGAAGGAAAAATCCTAGCTTTGTATTCTGGTCCAATAGGTTTGGGGGACTCGCTTAGAACTGAAGTATTGGCTCTCCTCCAAGGGCTCAGATGGGCCAAGCAATTGGGTTTTCAACAGTTAGAAGTGGAGGGGGATTCCAAATTAGTAATAGGTTGGCTGCAATCAAATAGTTTGGGAACGTGGTCCCTTAGACAACATGTAAGGGAATTATTGAGCCTCACAAGGGAGCAGGGTGCACAAGTGTATTGGTCTAGGAGGTCAGCAAATGCTTTAGCTGACAACCTAGCAAAACAAGGAGTGAATCGGGAGGTTTTGTTTGTTATTTGTTATTCAGGGGGCACCTTTTACTTTAGAAGGTGACAGTTGTTCCTCTGGTTTTATCTAAAAAAAAAAAAAAAAGAAGCATCGAGGAGAAGGGATTGCAGCAGCAGAAACCAGACCCAAAAGCTCAATTAAGCTCTCTACAGTGGGTATCTCATCAGAACTCAGATGAGAATAGTGTTGTACATCCTTCTATAGATCATCCAAACCTGCGGTACATGAGGAATAGGTTGGAGGAGAGGGAGAAAGAAGACGAAGGGTGGGTTGACTGTAGTGTGGAGGAAGATGATGTTGAGGAAAGCTCAAACAACGCCACCAGCCTAGGAAGTGGGGGAGATGAAGGATTCTTTGACTAGGAAAATAGGGGGACTCTAAATTTTGAAATATTGTTTCAAGGCAAAATGGAAGGAGCACAGCAAGTGGACTCGTTGGCTCTGAATGACAGGACAGGAAGTAACCGAAGTAGAGCACTGCCAGGAAGCTGGGGAGGAAAGAAAGAGTCGAAGAGAATAGGAGGAGAAGAGAGAATAAAGAAAAGACTTTGAGAGGCAAAAAAGGTGGGTTTGTGGGTTGTGGTAACCCCTATCTTTTTTTCTTATTTTTCTTGATATATAGGAAGATTACACCCGACCCAAGACCTGAACACCTAGACTATCTGGTAGAAGTAGAAACTTGAGCTCCTGCTGAGTGATTATGACTTCTTGAAATTCTCCTCCATGTCCTCTTCAGCTGGTTTCCTGCACTCCTCCAGCATTACATTGCACATCCATGTCGTCCTCCCCAGACCTTTAAGTGCATCCATGGTTGTTTTGGAGTTGCCTTCAATAAAAATTTTGTTTGCTCCTGATTCCATTAACTGTTTACGTGCTTTGAGGGCTGCTCTCATCTCCGCAGTGCAGTGGTAGTAGAACCAATAGGGCCTGCTCCTAGTTTGATCACTTTTCCTTTGTGGTTTCTAACAACATAACTGAAAGTGCATAGATTGTTTGTTAACTTAGAGGCATGAAAATTTATTTTTATTCCATCTTGACTTGGGGAGGGGTCCATTTTACCCATAAGGTTGATCTCGCATTCCTTTCTTTATATAAGACCAACTTTTTTTGGGCCTCCACATATTCTCTACAACTTAGTAGAGCTTGATCTATGATCTTGGGAGGGTTGTAATTCTTCTTTTTGAAGATTTGTTCATTTCTGTTTTTCCGTAGGTACCACACAATATAGCCGGTTATATCATATCCAATCCTTTATGGTAGTTAGATTTACTGATTTCATCCCACCATTCCAGGATATTTCGGTCTGTCCTGATCTAGACACACATGGTTGTTAACAATTGTTCCCCAGACTTGTCGAGCTACCTCACAATTGAAAACGATGTGTAATGAATTCTCAGTTTCACCACAGACCTAGCAGTCAAGATCAATATTAAAACCTTTACTACATGGTTTTTCCTTTGTAGGTAATTTGTCCCTCATGGTTATCCATAAGAAGAACTTCATCTTTGGAGGGCATATGATATTTTTTTTATTTTTTTTGTAACTCATTTGGTTCTTCATTTAGTATGGCATATGCTGATTTCACTGTGAGCTCCCCACTAGGGCTTGGTCCCACACTATTTCATCCTCTCTATCTTCAGAGGAAAGAGTTATAGATTGAATTTTATTGATTAAATCCTCTGGGAATATCTGTCTCATTTTGGCTTGATCCCAGTTTCTGGGCGGATTTGTGATGATGTCACTTACTGTTGCATTCTCATTTAACAGATATCATTTGGATATTTTGGATAGTATCAATGGGCTGGTTGGATATTTAAGTACATGTTACAACACCTTTAACCAACAATCTCTGGTGCATTAGTCTATTTTTCATGGTCAATAATAATGTATTCCATTCAAGAAAAATTCAGAAGCCACTGTCCAATGGCAGAGAAGATGCAGAATACAAAGACAGGTTTCAGCTAATAGTATATAAAATAATTTGTATATAGAGTCGGGTTGGGGGGGTTCAGCTTTGATTGGGCTGCTTTCACTGAACCACGTTGAGTTCACCAGAAAGTTGATTTCCTGGATGAATGAAAGCATATTATCAAACATAGCTTTTAGGCTTTCCACGTGGGGCCCACCATGCAAAGCTAGAAGTCACTGTGTGAAAGCCCTCCCAAACGGGCACATAATATGCAGTTTTCACCTAATAGCATATAAAACAGAATACAAGTGAAACATTCTTTTTTTTTTTTTATCAGCATGAATACAACATTTTTTTTTTTATCAGCATGAATACAAGTGAAACATTGGCTATTTTGAATGAACATTAAAAGCAAATCCTCCCACAAGCTTAGATAGTCTGTTTTCAGGTGAAACCTTCAGGTGGCCAAGGAAAAGAGGAAGAATTTTATGGAGATGTACTAGGGCTGCCGTTGTATGGACAGTTTGAGAAGAAAGAAAAGCAAGAATTTTCAAGGAAGAGGAGAGAAATGTGGAAGCAATCTTAGATTGTGTTCTATTGCTCAAGAGATTCAACTAAAGCTGAATTGTCAGCTGTGCTGTATGGGATTCAATTAGCAGAAAAGCTAAACTTAAGAAGACTCTCAAGTAGTAGTAAGCTGGTTAAAAAATGAAAAGAAAGCAGCCTGGATTTATCGATATTTGGAAAAGAATATCAAGTGGTTTCCAAGGGGAATGACAGTAACTGTTCAGTGAGTTCCAAGGGCTGCTAATGGGATGGCAGATTCTCTAGCAAGGCAAGGGATTGTAAGGGAGCAATTGTTTCACCTGCTCCTGTGGGCAAGGGGTCATTAGGGAGTGATTGCTTTGGGCTCAGTTGTTTTAACTTATTCTTAGGGGTACTCATACCCCATTTGTAAATTGTAACTCACGGTATATTCTATTATTCTTGTTTATATTAATGAAATGTTTCCTGTTATCTATCAAAAAAAATGGGGGATATATGATTTTTACAAGCATGGATTCATAAAAAATGAAGATGGTGACCAATGACAACTATTTTCTCATTCTACCATAAACTTTGGGTGGGGGAGTGGAGAATAGAATAAAACAAGTGGTTTAGGAGTTGTACCTTCTTTGTGCCATAATATTGAACTATATTTTCATGTTCAAAATGACTTAAAAGCGCAATCTCCTGAAGCAATAATTCGGGAATTAGAGAAAGGGAAAAATGCATGTTATAAATTAACATAAGTGTTAACCACTATGATTCTAGTATCTAGTCTCCAGTATATGAGGAAGTCCAACAAATTTAATGATAGTATGGTTTGTGTACAATAGAACTTGGTGAAATCTTTTTCCTCTATAAAAATTGATTGATATATTATACTCTAACCTGCTCAAGTTGAAAAACGCTTTGCTGGCCCTGGCTTCCTTGGTCGAGCAATGAAACTTCTTTAACAGCAAAAAAGAACCCATCACTGCAGAAAATCAACAGTAGTGAGATTACAATGATGCCCCAATAATGATCATACCATCTTGATCAGACAAGTTTTTACTTCCCCAGTAAACATCAGATTGTATGCCATCCTATAAAGGGCTTGTCCCTGATTGATACAAGCCGTCTGAGCATTATACAAATGGGTGTCTATTTTGGACTTCAGATTTCAAAGACTTATTTTATCAATAAGAATATATGGGAAAATCTGTGATGCCAGAAAGATATCATACCGGAATGGCTTTGACCAATCACAACCCCCCGTGAATTTTGGTGAAAACCCACCTGATTGGTTTCTACTTTTATGATTCTGGTTAGTTGCTTGTAAATTCTTCCCATATCATGTCTTTCTGGCATCATAGTTGAACCCTTCATAAATAGATCCTAAAGTGAATTTGTTGCTGTGAACAGAGGGACTGTACATAGAGTGGAGTCCAATACTACTTTTTTTTGCCCAAAATAAATTAGGTCTGTGAGTCAACTCCCTATTTAGCTAGAACATCTGCCACCCATTTGCATATCTTCTCACCCAGTTGAAACTAGAATTTATTTGCTTTTCTATGACATCAATTTCCCTAAAAGCATGTCTATATTTCCAAGGTGCTGATTTGACTTGCTTGGTCCAATGAATGACTAGTTGTGAATCTCCTGCAACTTCCAAGTTTCTAATACCAAGCTGTACTGCTAATCTCATTCTTGTAAGAGTGCCATGATTTCAGCCTTGACCAAGTCTCCCAAGCCACTTGGACCTAACTACATCACTACCTTACTCATTGGTGGTTCCTAATCACTTCCCTAATGCCTGCTCTTCCTGAATTGCCCATAGAGCTGCCATCAAAGTCCAGCTTTATTCACAACAGGAGGTTTCCAATACAATCCATTCTCACTTCTTCAATGTGTCTATTTGTTTGTGGCACTTCAGTCCATCATCTAACAATGTCATTGATTGAAAAGTCTCTGAATAGCTCCAATGTTTTTACCCAATGTGCAGCTCTCACTAAATGGCTTTAGTTAGTTCCTCCTAAGACCTATTATTCTCATTGAATAATCTATTGTTTCTTTCTTCCCAAATCATCCACACCATTGCTGCCCTTACTATTTTCCACATGATCCTCCCTCTCTTTTCTTTAAGCCTCAAGAAGTTGGGGTTGAAGAAACTTACCACTTCCTATGGGAGTAACCCATCTGCAATGAAAAAGAGAACAAAAATATTCCCAAATACAAAACACAAAAGGACAGGAGATTAATAAGTAGGGAATAGTCTCACCACTAGCCTTACAAAGAATACACACATGAGGAGAAAGGCAAGAATTAGGCCTCATTTTCTGTAGCATGTCACAGGTGTTGATCTTTCCAAGGAACACTTCCCAACAAAATGCCTGTCCACCATGTCATAAGCCTTTTCTAGGTATAATTTACAAATTAAACATTTTCCTCCCTTCTTTCTCTTTTCAACCACACATTCATTTGCCACTAGAATTTGGTCCACTATTTGCCTCCCATCAACAATGGCTCCTTGAAATTGAAAGATTACCATAAGTGGAAAAGTCTTCAACCTTCTTGCTAGGTATTGTGTTATATGTTTTTTCTTACATTTGGCCCAAAGGGGCAAATATTAATTGCACATATTAACTTTTCTAATTACATTTTAGATCCTATGAGATTTGAAACACACCTTTTACTCTCTTCTCTCTCTTAACATTAGCTAGTTGAAAATTTATCAAAAAAAAAAAAAAAATCATTAGCTAGTTGAAACCTACTGCAGTACTGCCCTCTACAGCAATAGAAGATACAGCAAATCGATTTCTTGAGAGATTTGAACACCGCAAAGTTACCAAAACATATGAGAGAAAGAAGAACTAATGGCTGCACCCAGGTTTAGAAGCTGACAGAAGTTTCTAAATTTATGGCTTCTATTTTCTTTTATAATCCAACTGCTGTTTTAAAAGATCTGCAATCAGTAGTTTCTTTTTATTTCTGTTTAGGAAATTATTAGCTTACTCAACTACTATTTTTTATGTTTCTATTTTTTGAGTTTCCATTTTCTGAATTTCTAGGATTCTAATTAGTAGTTCAGATCTGGACCCAACAGCCATTGCAACCATACATCAAGAACATTTGGCCATGAAAGGACAAGGGAGATGTTCCCGATGTATGGCTGCAATGGCTGTTGGGATCATGTGTTGGGACCTTATGTTTGGACCAGATCCAGACTCTCTAATTAGGAGTTGATGCAATCTAAAGCATTTAACATATCAAAAGCAATTGGGGATGGGGGTGAGGTTTGGGAGGAAGGTGAAGGGAGAGAAGAAGAGCTTGTAGATGAAGAGTGATGAGAAGTTGTTGTAGTGTCTAGAGTTGAGAGGGAGAAGATTAATAGAAGTTTCAGGATATGGGTATCTGGTTCACCTATTTTGCATCCAAGGATTTGTTCAAATTTTGTTTTGATCTAGATGGAGAGGATAGGAACCTTCTTGAAGTCGAGGATTGGATGTGGGTCAAGCTGGTGGCGTCTGCTGGTTTTATGTCTCAGTTTGGTCTTGTTTTTTTCTGAGTTTTCTCAAGTTATGTGTGCTGTCTCAGGTGAATGTTTAAGGGAGGGGTGAATTTCAATTCTGTATTTTGGATATGTTGAAGATAGGTAGTTTATATTATTGTTGTTGTTGTTTTGGTGATTTCTTATCACCCTCCTAGATTGTATCCTTTTTTCCTTTTAATGAAAATTTATTTTACTTATCAAAAAAAAAAAAAAACGTCTAAAGCATGCCCCAAGAAGCACCATATCATTTTCAAAGAATAAGACAAGTGGACCTTGCATTTAAATTCACTAATGGGCTTCCAACAGCCATTTCAGTTAGTGGGTTTCTATCAGCTAGTTTGTTAATGGACTTCTAACAGTTAGTTTGTCTGTGAACTTCTAACAGCTAGTTTGTTAGTTGGTTTCCAATGGTTAGTTTTAAAATGCTCCAACAGCTAGTTTTGTATTAAATGCTCTAACAGCTAGTTTTTTGTTCTTTGTATAAAGCCTCATAATCTCAAGTTAGAGACATTAAGTTCTTTCCATTGTTTTGTGAAGCTTAGAGCTTTCTTTTCAGAATTGAGAGAGTCTTCTCTTGGGTAAGTAAGTCCCAACCTTTGTTGCCTCTTTGAGCAAATTTCTTCTTTTTCTTTCTTCATATTTGAGTTGCATCAGGAATCAACTACAATTTTAGTAATTGCCAAAACTCTAAGCTTTAAGGAGTCTATATATACATGTAAATCTATCTACAACAGTAGAATTGAATGAAAATTGAATGAGTTAGTTTTTGTTTTTCTATATAGTTGTCCTTGAAATCAGTGTTAGAGAAACACATGCTTTTTTCTTCTCCTTGTTATTTTCTAGTGGTTTTCTACTACTAGAAGCAAATTAGCAACTATTCCATGCATTTTCTCCTAGATTCAGAACACATTGAGTTACCTACTATCTACCAGCCTACATTAAAACCCTAGAGAATTTTGACCTCCCCATAGCATAGTTGAAAACAGATTGTGTAAGACATTTAAATCGGTTGATTGAGACTAATTTAGCTTTTAAGGACAGTTCAGCATCACAAATGTAAGCTAATAGTGACTACTTTGCTCGCGAATGTGTGTCTGAGAGAGAGAGAGAGCACTCTACTTACTCAGCGATCCCTTCATACACTGTTCCAAAAGACCCACTGCCCAGAAGCCCTCCCCGTTGCCAAGACGTGATGGTACGTCTGACTCTAAGAGTAGGCGAAATATTAGTAGGTTCCGTGGTCGTACTGGAAGAATCGTCATCGTTTGAGGTCGAAAACCAACTAGATTCAAATAAACCGCTGGTATCACTCAATCTCTTCGCCTGTTCCCCTGTCACCCGTTCTTCTTCTCTCGCTTCAATCACTTCATGACCATCTTCACGTATTCTATCCTCCTCATCATCATCAACATCAGAGGAGGAGGAGTAGCCCGTCTCTACACGACGAATTGACGACGAAGGAACTATATCATCTTTAGGTGCAAAAGACTTCAAAAGCTCCCAGGTCGAAGCTGACCCCATACGATCCTCAACCTTCAGCAACATTGCCGGCGGTGGAGCGAGCACCGGCGGCCGAACCCCCTTAATTCCTCCACCGACGCCAGCACCAGAAGATCCCGGAGCAAGTGAATTCCCGTCACTGAACAGAGGAGGAGAAGAAGAACGATCCCCTGTCGGTCGCTCCGCAGCTCCATCACTAACTCTAAACTTATCTGAAGACCTAGTCGACAAACTACCTTCCCACTCTTCTTCCTCTACTCCACGAGGAGAAACCGAAGGGAACCGTTGATCTTCTGCCGACTGCTTCGCAGCTTCACCTGTAATTCTCTCCCTATATGACAACCCAATCCATGAGCCATCTTCCCCCTCTTCCTCCGCTTCAGCCGGTTCCTCCTGTATATCATCTCTGTCCTCGACTAGATGAGTCAATCGCGGCCTCGGGAAGATATCGGACGAAGACCGGGCCTTCCTGGCCTCCCATGCGGCGGTCGGAATGGCGAAGTCCTCCGGACCGGAAAGCCCCAAACTCCGGCAAATTTCGTTGACCTCATCGGCGCCTTCGATTCGGAAGCTAGTCTTGTTGGTGATAGAAAAGATTTCAAGGGAGCGAGTAGCGCGGAGAGAAGGGGAGAGATCACCAGGTGGTGACGAAGACGAAGGGGAGAAGGCATCGTAGTCGATGTTCTTCACGGCGTTCCGACGTTCCAACTTCGGCCTCCGTCGGCTGGAGCCACCGTCCATCGTTTCGTCCTTTCTATGACTTAAAAACCGCGGCAAGTGATGCATCGAAGACTGCTACTTCTCTCAGTCCAAGCTCGCGCCGAAGAACTCGCGCCATCAGGCCCATCACCCGAGCAACAACAACTCTCGGACAACTTAACGTCTCTCTCTCTCTTTCCTCTCCCTCCTCTCTCTCTCTCTCTCCTATCTTGTTTCTGAAATGTTGGATTCTTGTCTTTAACTCTTTACAAGATTACAGTTTCTGGTTTAATCCGCCGTACGGGCATCCGTATCTGAGGTTTAGATTTTGAGCCCGTCTGATTTGGCACGCCAGGTTAAATGGCTGGGAGTGGATCCGGATCGGACGGTTTAGAATGAGGATGTATGTGAGTAAGCTTCGATTATTATAAAAAGGATGACTCTCACTTTGAACTTGGACTAGTAAAAGCCAAGAAAACCCACATTTCCTACTCACTTTTCCTATCCACACCGTACCCGCCGTGAATTGCAGATTGTGGGTAGAGAGTAGTGGACAGGAAATCCCGTTTGGTCGCAAGAAAGATAGAAGAAGTAGTGCCACGTGGAACTCTAGTGCGGCTTTGTTTATTTCGTAAACGATAGAAGTAGAAATATGCGGGGCCCACATGATTCCACGATCATAACGGCGGAATCGTCACCGTCCAAGACTGAGTATTATGATTCCACATGTATTATGTGTGGTGATTTGGTAGTTCCACGGAAACGGTACTACGAAATTATGGTCGCGTAGACTGAGTATAACTTGACGGCTATGGAGGATGAATTTTTTTTAGGAAATGGAGGGGACTGAATTTAACGATTTAAATAATTAAATTTTCTTTTTTGTTAAGAAAAATAATAAAATATTTTAGAATATAGCAATCTACCAAGCCAATATCAAAAGACAACAACATTTCTTTATGCAGAAATTGAACCGGTCGTAGATGAGTTTAATAATCCCACGCTTTTTTTATTAAACATGAAGTTTGTTAAATGTAATTAATGAAAAAGGAGCTTTTGATCAGAAATTGAACCGGTCATAGATGAGTTTAATAATCCCACGCTTTTTTTATTAAACATGAAGTTTGTTAAATGTAATTAATGAAAAATGAGCTTTTGATGTGGCAAATTTTTTAAACTATTATTTGATTGTTTAATTAGTTTTTTAGGGTAAATCTCTTAAAATATCCTTACTCTTTACGAAATCGACAAATTGTACCCTTACTGTTTATATATTGTCTTAAAGTACGTTTACTATATCTAAAAAATGACTTCGTCGTTAATTGTTAACGAAAAGAAATGAAATGCCGAATTTGCCTTTCACTATTCCTCAAAATAAAACCCAATCAGCGAATAGCCCCCTCCCCTTCCACCTCTATCTCTGCAAATTATCAGCATTTCCAACCATATAACCAAGCCCACCGTTACATAGTTGAACCTCCAAAGGTGCAGCGAAAGCGTTAACAAATTCCTTTAAATTTGAGCACACAAAACCCTAATATTGTTCAACGAGTTCCATCTCCAGAGAACCTAAACTAACCAGAGCTGAAGAAAACACTATAGAAATAGAACCAGAATCTTCGAAGTGTCCATACCGAGTCGAGATTAGGAGCTTAGAACCGAGTTGAAGCCACAAGGAGGCTAAAGAATAAAACTCCACAAAAGAGAGAGAGAGAGAGAGAGAGAGAAAGAGTATGGAGAGCGTTTGTTTTCTATTTTCATCTCGGACAAGATGAAAGATCCTTAACCATCCTGTTGTGAACACATCAATTGGGGTAATTAATTTCATTGATTTGGCCACTGACAACAGACTTTGTTCTACATTATACAACTCTGGCGTCCCATGTCAGAAACTAACCCAACTCAGTTACCACAAGATGACGATCTCTCTAACACCAACAGCAAAGTAATGCTTAGCCATGTGATAAATTGCGAAACATCTTTGCAGCTTGCAGAGAAAACCTAAAAGCCCATACAAAGCTTCAATTTCCCAAAAACCCCAAGTTCCACCCCACCTTCTTCCACTCAATCCTTGTAATCACAAGCTTCAAAAATGGAAATTTCTTAAGAGACACCAAACTCTAAAGATCCCAAGCTCTTACATCACCACAACTTTCAACAAGTCCAAAATCAGTGATGTGTGCACATGCTACACATCATTTTTATCGTTTTATACATGGTTTTGATGATGATTTTCATGATTTTTACCTAATTGAGAATGATTTCAGGAAAACAAGAGTTTGGGACAGCTTAGGGTGAAGATAGCATAAAGACATGCTGATAGGGCAAATAGGGAAGCATTACGGCCCATCTAGAAGAAAGACCCAACTGAGAATCAAAAGGAGAGCACTTCGGCCCATAAAGAAGCAAAGCCCAATTTGAAACTCTATGAGAGACACCAAGGAGAGAGCCCAGCCGAAACTCAATGAGGGAAGCATTTCGGACCACCAAAGAGGGAGGCCCAACTACAGCCCAATTCGCAGCCCTAGGGAGACCCCAAAAAGGCGGTTGCCTTTAGAGAGGAAAAAGAGGGTTGAAGGGGAGAGTATAAAAGAAAAGAAAAASAAGAAATTAGGGTTCGAACCCTTGAAAGCAAATTGAAGAAGAGAAGTGCTGAAGAAGGAAGAGAAGGCTGCTGAATGCGAATTAAAGAGGAGAAGATCGAAGGTTGAAGCAACAATCATAGGTTGTCTTCTTCTTTGGTTTTGCGATTTCAGTAACCTAGGTTCGATTAGGGTTTAATGGCTTTTCTTTATTGAATCCTTCTTTCTTTCTGTGATTCGAATCAAGTTGGATGTTAATTCAGACCTGTAATTAAATCTTTTATGTTATTCGATTGATTGGATTCATTCTTGAGATTTCTTGATTAGGGTTTTCAATTGATAGAATAATCTTGGCCGAATTGTTCTTATTTCTTGGATTGCTTGAATTGCTTGAGAAAGAGTTTAGGTAATCAGATCATCTAATCAAGAAATGGATTGAATGCATCTTAGAGATAATTTGCATGGTTCGTTTGGTGTTCATTCATACACCAATTGATGCCCTTCGAATTCTGTGTTCTTAATGCATCTATGGGGATTAAATTCTTGATAGAGATATAGGAACTGTCACCCATAGATAGAGTGGGTTGTGCTCGAGAGAGGCTGCTCATACCATTAGGGTTTCGCCAACCCATGATTGAATTCCACATCAATTGAATAGCTTAATGGTTTAATTGCTGAACCGATTCTGCTAGTATTTACATACAACTTTTCTTTTCATTGCATGAAAGTGGTTTGATCCGAAACTGTTTAGGGTAACTTCCTAATTAGGAATTAGGGTTTTTATTTGTTTAATATTTCGGTTATCAGATAACAAAAGGCTGATTCAGTACTAGTAGTTGTTGGATCAATCCTCATGGGAACGATACTCTACTCATCATTGTATTACTTGATCGGCTAGTGCACTTGCTAGTGTAATCTATACGCATCAAGTTTTTGGCACCATTGCCGGGGATTTATCACAACAATATTAGGAACCATCTGTCATTGTTAATCTGATTTTAATTTTGTACATTATGTTTATTATATTTGTGTATTAGTATCTTTATGACTTTGACTTGTATAGTTTATGACACGTAGAAGTGAAAAGGAGAGCATCACCTACGATCCCGAGATTGAAAGAACTCTCCATCGCCGCCTTAGAGCTTCTAAGCAAGGGAGAGCTGAAAGTGCAGAGATGGCCGAACAAAGGACCATGATGGATTATGCCAAACCAACCCTCACCGGGGCAGCCTCGAGCATTGTGAGACCAGCAATAGCTGCCAACAACTTCGAGGTCAAACCAGCAATCATTTAGATGATTCAGAATACAATTCAGTTTTGTGGCTTGGCTCATGAAGACCCGAACACTCACATCGCCAACTTCTTGGAAATATGTGACGCATTCAAGCACAATGGAGTTAGTGATGATGCAGTGAGGCTTAGATTGTTTCTGTTCTCATTGAAGGACAAGGCTACGACGTGGCTGAACTCTCTCCCAACTTGATCGATCTCTACTTGGGATGAAATGGCCAGTTGCTTCCTATCCAAGTATTTCCCTCCGTCCAAGACTGCAAAAATGAAGAATGATATCACCACCTTCTTTCAGCAGGACGGAGAGTCATTGTATGAGTCATGGGAGTGTTACAAGGAACTATTGAGGAAAGTCCCTCATCATGTGGCTGCAAGTTCAAACATTTTATAATGGGATGACCGAATCCAACAAGACTATTATGGATGCTGCAGCTGGGGGATCCATTAATAACAAGACCCCGGAAGTTGCCCATGCACTCATTGAGGAGATGGCTGCAAATAACTATCAATGGCATTTCGAGAGAACACAAGTTAGGAGACAGCCCGGACTTCATAATGTAAACACCTATACAACACTGTCTACACAAATCAGTGCCCTCAGCAAGAAGATAGATGAAATGCAGTTGGCAGCCATGCATGTTCAGACCATAGCCTGTGAATGGTGTGGGGGAAGTCATATCAGCACTGAATGTCAAGTCGAAAATCAGTTCATGCAGTCCCCTGAGTAGGTAGTTTATGTTGGTAATTTGCAAAGGCAGCAAGGCAATCAGTGCCCCTGTGCACTCAACCCCGGATGGAGGAATCACCCCAATCTGTCTTAGCGAAATCAAAATGCGGTGAAACCCTTTCCCTAAAATTTCAATCAACTGGAAAAGAAATCTAATCTAGAGGAGCTGATGACCAAGTTCATATCAAGTGCTGAAACGAGATTTCAGAACCAAGAAGCATCGATCAAGAACTTGGAGACTCAAGTGGGACAGTTGGCACAGATAATATCTTGTAGAGTCCAAGGCACTTTACCCAATAATACCGAAGCAAATCCAAGAGAACAGGTGTGCAAGTCATTACCTTAAGGAGTGGTAAGGAGCTGCAAGAGGTGGAGAAGAAGGCAAGGTGAGCGCAACCCTAGAAACCAAAAAGAAAGAGGAAGAGCAATCTGATTCAAAGAAAGAGAAAAGTCAACAGCCGCAAGTACCATTTCTGAATAGGCTAAAGCAACAAAAATTGGGAAAGGAATTCGGTAAGTTTATTGAAAATTTTAAGAGTTTACATATTAACATTCCTTTTGCAGATGCTTTAGCCCAGATGCCACACTATGCAAAGTTCCTGAAGGAGATATTGGCAAACAAAAGGAAACT